CCACAGACACATTTGCTTATGCACGAGAACCTCCTCAATTAGTAGGTAGTATTGGGAGAATACACTGAAACACAATCTTGAAATAGAAGTAAGATTTCAAGAAATAGTATGCTAAGATTTATGAGAGTTTGTAATGGATTGTACTTGAGTAGGTTGGAAACAGATATATCCTTTGTGAAGGCTTTTCTATCTAGATTAAAATTGAAGAGGGCTCGGATGACGTAACCAGATGAAATTGTTTTTCGTTCTTTTTTTTTTTTTAAATATATATGTATTATAAAAAGTCTGCTTGGTTGCTCAACCAGGCACATACGTGACATATTTTGACACCTCTATTTTAGACATGCAAACTCCAATTGCTACAACGCTTATAATCGGTTTTGGATTTTGGTGAGCATCAACTTCACCTAATAATTCATTTTCCATACTTTGATTTGGAGTCATTACCAACTTCGGAAAGATATTTAACACTGACGGTAGTTATCAATAGTTTTCACCCAACCCCAAATAAAATTGTTTTTTCAATCAAATTCCAGTCTGTAATTATGAAATTGTACATCAAAGTTGTCTTGATAGGTAACTTCACCGGATTCTAAACCCATAATATATTTACTCAAAAGATTAATTGCACACGAATATGGACAAAATCGTCCTAAAAACTTTTCATAGTACATAGCTTGTCTGAAAAGGACTGTTCCTCTGCTACGAATAGATTATGGAGATATGAATTGAGGCTTAAAACTGTAGCTATGTACTTCATATGATTATTTTGAGTACTGACTTGAGTATATTTTGATTACAATTTCATGGAGGGAGTACTGATGAAAATATCTGTCAATAAATTAAGAGTAATGTTATTTATGAGGATTATCGGCAGTCATCCTACGTGATATACACGTGTCATTTTGTTATTTGATGTAACAAAAAGTGATATATGTATGCCACGTAAGACGACTATCGATAGTTTTCCCTATAAATTGCATCGTTCATAATTTTTTAGCAAAAGTTTCTCATCAACTTGCTAGTTCTTATCGAGGTAGAATGAGGAAGCTGATAAGCAACTTTTTTTTATTTTTTTTAATACTTATAATCATTTTATCATGTTTGCTGAAAAATCAGGGTAATAATCCATCAACTTGCATTTTTTTTTCCATAAAGTCCTTCAGTAAAATGAAATTGCATTCAAACAAAATAATTTCCTTTTGCCCAAGAATTTTACCATATGTAGAAAGGTAACTTTTGACATTTTAAAGACAGAATGATAGAGCTGGATCGCGTTTTCCTATATCTCAGAAGGGTAACATATAGGAGTAGCCCGGGCCTTTTCTATACTCTTTATCAACCCTTTATTTAGTCGATGTAAGACTTCGTTCACGCTTTAATGAAATATCTATTGGTCTCTTCATCTTCCTCAAATCATAAAGGATTATTATACAACGCGGGGGCCCTAACTCTTCGCATTGAGAGTTGACCACAAATATTTTTTCCATTGCAATCCAACTCGAAGTGCACCACTTTATTCCCACTGCAACTCGGGAGTCGGGATTCGTCTTGTGCATCCACTTGTCTTGGTTTGAAGGTTAACTCTTAATCCAGATCGGGTGTGGTCAAAATTTACATAAATCATTCCTGCAAATAAACCTGATACAAGGACTGTTATGAGTTATGACACATATTTTAAAGGCAACGCCCTAGTGTCTTTACTGCAGTTCTCTTGCATGTGCATAATTTTAACTTGAACAGCAGAAAGGTAAAATTCCCAAAGAGATAATTCAGTTGTATCAGAAAACTCATCAGCCTTTTTTCCACTTTAAACTCGATTCTGATTCCTGAATACTTGATACCTTTTTCTGTATATGCAATTCTCCTCTACAAAACAAAAGACAAGATCCAAGTTTCTAGTGTTCATACATAGCTTATATACTACTGTTTCCTCTCTCTTTATACTTGAACATTCTATTCTGCAAGAGAAGAAAGGAATTCCCATTAAAATTTTGATGATTATGGATTCATCAACTAACTACTTTAGGATGCTGAAACGTGCATTGAACGTTGGACTGATTGTCTTTTGCATCATATGTCTGCTTTCTATAACAGGTAAGAAGATTTACAACCATTTTACCTAATAATTTCTTTTTGACCTTTTTTTCTTCTCTATATTGTTGGACTTCAATTTTCACTTCCATTTTACCCCAATTAAAGTTTCATTTATCATCATCTTGTCATATGCAACGATAATTGAACTATCGTGCAATTATCGATTAGACTATCTTAGATAATTTCTACATGCCTATGTACACCTAGTATTCATACACGAGCCAGTAGAACGCACAGGTGACGCCCCATCAGCCCGCGACACAACAACTACTAATTTTTACGACATTACAAAATGCCTTATTTTCGTGTTTAAAGAGATTGTGACTTGTATGTTATATGATTTGCAGTGTTGACAGTTGATGTAGAGGTTTTCAAGCAAGGGAGTCATGAGTTTGAAGCAAGAAAGATGATGATAGGTTCAAGGCCTCCAAGATGTTTGAACAGGTGCTTGAATTGTAACCCTTGTATGGCTACATTAGTTGTGACTCCCCATCACAGAAAAGGTTTTGACACATCACATAATCATGACGCCAACCATGATGATAACTATTACCTTCTTGCATGGAAATGTAAGTGCGGAAATAAGCTTTTTCAGCCTTGAAGACTTTACATGTTGGTGGCATACATGTTCAGTAAGTTGAATTGGACAATATCGAGCGTAAAGGAAAAGAAGCTTAAACATTGTCCATTGTACTTTTCAATCATAAAATGCTCCTCTTTCGGGGCACTCTTGCATGTTCTCTTATCCTTCGATGTTTTGAATTAAGGAAGAAAAAGGATTTGAAATTCGGTCTCTTGTTCTTTGTTAATTAAAGAGTAATCTTGGTCTTGCTTCACTTTAAATTCTTCCATTTCTATGTTGAACAACCATCTTGTGCAAAACTTTATTGAAAAAATCTTGGTGTACTGATAATTTTTCACAGACTGTGTACAGAATAGAGACAAGTGTGTGGGCCCCATGTTATATAAAAAATGCCAAAAATGTGTGTGGACTCTAGAACTGTGAGTTTTCTGTATGTATTCTGGCAAAAATCCTTCTGTACGTGTAGAAGGGTTCAACTTTAATTATTGGTTTGGGCAATCAGAAGATTGCTCTAATATTTATATCTTCGACACATTCACGTGCAAGTCTTTCATAAAAAAATAAAAAAATTGGCAAAAGAAATATTTTAGTTAGACGGCAAAGCTTGAACCCACTGATAATAAAGATGACTATCATTTAAAAGCTAAGTTTTTATGCTCTAGTTGAATCAAAGAAAATTTATGAGCATGTTTTTGTGGGGCTTATAAATTAGTTATAAGATGAATAGATAAAAGTGTGTGAAAGGATGTCTAAAATAGTAAGAAAATATTGAAATTTTACACAAAATCTTAACCTTAGACGACCATATCTATGTATGCATAGTTAAACATAATTTGTTACATTTTTAATATTATTGCGTTACTGTCTTGTTTGATATTTTTTCGTAGTCCAGTCTTGTGAGACTGTTTAAAAAGCCCGGGTCTGCATCTGCTCTTCATGGTAAAGTACAAGCACAAATTTACAACAAGAACAATAAATAAATTGAAGCATTGAACGTGCATACTATTGAAATCAATGTTATAAAAATCGATCTGGACTTCGACTTGAAAAAGGAAAAGGGTCAAACGATCAAACTGGGGTTGAACCGAATATCAAAATTAAATAAATAAATACTCCAACAAACTATAAAATATTATAACAACAATTTTTTTAAATTTTAGTATTACTAATTCAAAGTAAATATAAATCAATATTTATCAATTAGATTTATTATCCTGCAATTTATTTTAAAACATCAAAAACTAACAATTAATGTGTTTAAATAAATTGAAATTATTTGTGTTTTGAGGGTCAAAATTCGTATAATAGAAAGAAGGAAGTGAACAATTATTAAATGTATAAGTTGCAAAAAGTTACACAACTTATCCCATATCGGAAGTTGAGGAAAATTTTATACTACTCTTCTCTGTTAAAAACAACACTTGAATTGCAAGGAAGGTAAAATTGGCCTTGCCAAAACCGTGACCGATTTTCCAGTTATGGTTAAAATGACCGGTTCAACGGGTTATTTACCGGTTTCTTCATTTCCAATTAATATATTAGGACTGGATCAAATTTGAGACCAGTCCGAGTTTTCCCGGTTGAACCAGTCGGTTCGGTTCAATTTTCAAAACATTGATTGAAATAGACATTTTACTCAAACTTCAAACCTTAACTTGTTCAAACTTGAAACATATCTAAAACACTAAAAGCTCTACAAGAGTAGCAAAGAGACCTGGACTCAAGACACTTCTTTGGACCGTCTACCATTGCACCTGCTGTTCCATCTGAAATTTCGATTCTAACATCCTTACATAGTACATTGATCACGTGTTTAATTTGTTGAGATGATCTTCCAAACGAAAACATTTTTACCTGCAAATTCAAATCAATGTTTAGATTTCAATCCCTGATATAAGGCAATGGGACAACTGCAGTTGCATTTGTAAACAATATGCCTCTCGTCCTCATTATCCAACAATTTTTGTTCCAAACATATAATCACTGAGAAACTGCAACCCCTAATCCATCGCAATTAAAATTGGTAGCTGAGATTACAATTTTCAAACTTGCCATTGCTGGGTTTTGTCAGAAGACTCACTCAAGACGGATATTAACCAGCTGATTTTTCTTTAAGTTGCACCCTCAGACAAAACAAGCAATTAACATCAATTGATATCAATGACTAGATCAACAAGGCTGCAATCAAGATTAATAAGAGTCGATTACCAGACATATATTCACTTGTCCTGAAAATGTCCGAACCCAAGTTGAGACGAACACAGACAGAGGGAAAAAAAAAAAAAAAAAAAAAAAAACTTCGCACAGGGCGGAGAGTTGGCAAATTCTCCGTACAGTGCGAAGTTAAAAAAAAAAAAAAAAACT